ATCGCAGAAAACATCATCTACATTATCGCCGTCAACATCTAGAACATCAGAAACAACAACGGCCACAACAGCACCAGCAGCGACGACATCCAAGCCAGCAATCTCGCCCAGAATTAGGATATTTATTATTCCGTCCAATTTCTGTTAAAAACAGCATCGGCAGTTATTCAAACAACGCAAACACAAACAACAGCGTTAAAATCGACAACAACAGCAGCAGCAACAAGATCAACAACAGCAGCAAGATCAACAACAACATGATTGACAACAAAAACAACAACCACAACAACAAGATCAACAACAACAACATTTGCAACTGCAACAAAAACAGAAATAAAAACTTTTATACAGAAAACAGAAGTTTTAACGATAATTGTGATAACACCATAATTCAGCGCGATAGAACAAGTATTTCCTCCTTCTCCGAACAACAACTGATAACATCAACAACGACATCAACAACACCACCATCATCAACAACAACAACAACCGAGACGACGACAACAACAACATCAACAACAGCGATGACATTACATTCACCGTCTACGATAGGCACGATTGCATCAGTTGTTAAAATTAAAAGTCAACAAACCTCCTCATTGCCAACAACAAAAACAACGACAACAACAACGTCACCAAAGACAAAATTATCATTTTCTACGTCATCTTCGTCATTTTCATCACCATCAACATGCAAAAAATCTTCTCCAACCTTGACCTTAATTTTCCTCCTTGCAATCATCTCTTCCTACTGCAACCTCCTCCCAATAAAAACAGTCCAAGCCGTGGGAACTGCCAAATGTCCGGTCAGTTGTTTTTGTCCTGCGGAAGACATGGCCCATTGTTCCAGAAAAAATTTCCTAGCCATCCCAACGGGATTTAGCGACAAAATCCGTCAAGTCATCCTGAACGAAAATAATTTCGCTAACAAGATGTTAGTTTCTGCAAATTTCTCTCAACTGTTGAATGTTAAGAGTCTGTACCTCGGGCAGTGCAGCATTGAGCAAATACACGTTGATACGTTCAAATCGTTGAAGGCGTTGGAGTTCTTGGATCTCAGTGCAAACAGGATCACCTACCTGAGTCCTGGGACTTTTGAAGGATTGAATTTGAAACATTTATTCCTTAACGGGAATCAATTTGTCACACTCGGATCGAACACGTTTGCTGGATTGAGAACAGAAGGCTTGTATCTGCATGGCTGTTCCTTGAAAAATCTCGAACCCGAGGTGTTAGAACCATTGGAAAGTTTGAAAAATCTCTGGTTACATGAAAATCTTTTATCAAAATTGAATGAAAAACTTTTGAAAAGATTTAGCGGCCTGAGCCACTTGAGGCTGGCGTCCAATCCTCTCGCTTGCGACTGCGAATCGCTCTGGCTGAAAAGATTTTACGACGAGCGGAAAGAAGATATTTTCTTCGAAGCACCATCGCCAAGCTGCTGGTCTCCGAAAAAATTTAAAAATTTAACATTTGATAAATTCTCCGTTGAGGACTTACAATGCTCAGCTCCTATTCTGTCAGATGTTGATTTGGTCCTCAACACAACGTCAGCCACTCTAAAGTGCACGGCGTTCGGCAATCCAGGTCCCAATATTTTCTGGATCGAACCTTCCGGCAAGTCAACGGTTTTTCGCGCTAAAGAGATCAAAGATTCAAATTTGTTCATAACCGAAGCCACACTTGAAGTCAACCTGACCAGAACCGTCCTCGTTAAAAGAGGCCCAAACAAAATGACGTCTGTTAATTCGCCGCCAGATAACAAGCAGCAAAAGAAGAGAAGAAAGAAGAAGAAGAAAAAGAAGGAATACAACCAGAGCGTTTATGATAATTTATACTTTGACGGCAACGAGAATAACAACGACGATTATGACGAGAACGATGGCAACTCTGGTGACGAAAACGGCCACGTTCAAAATTTTTACTCCATGATGCAGGCCAGCAATTTGGAAGACAGCGATGATGATGGTCACTTGTTCATGGGCCAGTACTTCTGCATAGCTCAAAACAACATGGGCAATGTAACGCTGACCGTCAATTTGACCCTACCCCTCTCTGCCCTGATAGGTGCAACGCAAGCACCTCAAGCGATAGAACAAAATGTAAAAAATGCACCGACGATAATTGAAGAAAACATCTTCAACAACAACGTCAACAACAACAACAACAAAGGAGTTAAAAAGCATCGGCCCAACTACAATATTTTCCATTCCAACAACGACAACAATCTCGATGAAAACAACAACAACGTAAAACAAAACGATAAAAATTCACTTTCAAGTAACAACAACAACAAAAACAACAAGAACTTAGATTCAACCGACAACATCAACGATGATGACGACAGCAGAGCTTTCTCATCTCAAACTCAAAACGAGCGTCTGTACAGCGTGTTAGAGATGTCGCTGGCAGTGGCGGGCACCTTCCTGTCCACAATCCTTCTCTGCGTCGTCGCCCTGCTCTTTTTCGTCAACAGGCAGCGATTCACGACACGAAAGAAGCACCAGGATGATGACGACCGCAAAAAACCGTCAGCCAATGACAGACCCACCCATCCCTATTTTAACAGCAACAAAAACAACAACACATCCGTCCAACAGCAACTGGAAACATCTGGGGTGGAATCAGATGGATCGCACCTGTACGCCGAGACCATCGCCCCACTCTACCCAACCGTTGATTCCTACCCAACGTCCGGCGAAAGTCGTAGAACTTTTTGCACGCTAGACGTTAAAAATAGTTCAGGGCTCGGCCCTGCTTACCCCCCTACGGTCATCTGCGACCCCAAACAGTACCAACTGCAGCATACGATGATGTTGAAACCGCAGCCACACGAACATTCACTTCAACAGCCACAGCAACATTTGATGGATGATGCTTTTTCGTTGTCATTGTCCATGAGAAGAAAGCCACAGCAGCAACAGCAACTACAGCCGCAACATTTTCTACATTCACATTATCAACAAATACCGCCTTTCCAACAACAGCAGCAACAGCCGCAACAAGTTTTGCAACAAAATCTGTACAACACGGATCAACAGCTGATCCCGCCAGATAACGTGTATTTAACTGGTACTAATACAAACAGCAGATACACAAATTACATGGATAGGTAGTACAAATATACATACACATACACACACACACACACACAAACACACACTTATGCAAAAACTGAAAAGGCTTGAGAAATACATACCCTACACATAGAAAATACGGTATAAAAAAACATACAGTGCAATATACATACAATTCAATATAAATACAGCAACACATACAAACGGTACATAATAAATACAATACCTACGATGCAATATACACAGACGCTTGTACATATTTCTTGTGTACGAATAAATAAATTAATATTAATGACGTATAATATTTATCGCGAATTAACTTCTTACTAGTAATTTTTTTTCATAGACTACTTTTTTGTAACAATAAATAATGACACACACACACACACACACACACACACACACACACACACACACACACACACACATACACGACACATACACACACATACATACACATGTATGCATAATATATGAATTTTGTATACATTTATATATCATACCGATGCTTACATGCACGTGTGTTTGTGTGTGTGTTAATTTGTAATCAACGTCATATAGTAATGTTTTCTAAAATGGCTTGACGAACGAACGAACGAACGAACGAATGAATGATTGAATGAATGAATGAACGAATAAAGGAACAAAATATGACAACAGGAAGAATGAAAATGAAGGAATAAAAGTATTAAATTTCAAGGTTTTACGATTATGATAGTTTAGCGTTTATGGACCTTTGGGTAGCTTTTGAATATTCTGTGATGATGACTATGGTGATGGAAAGAACGGCGGATAAATAGACAATAAATGAAGGAATGAATGAATGAAGGAATGAAGGAATGAATGAATGAAAGAATATATGGATGAATGAACGGATGGATAAATCAAAAAATAGATTGTTACATGAATGCGTTGACACTTGGATGATGAATGGTTAGATCTATAGATTCATTCATTAAGTCATTCATTCAAGGTTAAATAGATAAATGAATAAATGAATGAATGAATGAGTGAATGAAGGAATGAAATGTTGATTGGTTGAAAGACGGATTCTCAAATACAAAACGAGATCATCTGCTGAAAGATGTAATCGAACGAATAAACAAATAGACGGATTGACGAATAAAAAATATGAAAAAAAGAATGATGGATGGATGGATGGATGGATTAATTGAAAAATGAATGGATGAACAAATGAATGAATGAGCGAATGAATGGATGAATGAATGAACACTCGAGCAAAAAAAAACTTAAACATATACAACAAATACAAATGTTTTGGTTTCTCTGCAAAGATATTCCAAGCATGGAATATTTACAAATCGTTATCATCGTCATCATCATTATTATCACCCATTT